CCCCGCTCCGCCCCCGCCGTGGTTCCAGCACCACCGCGGTCAGCGCCTCCTCTGCCTCCCACTCCCACGAGACGTGCGGCGCGGCATGGGGCGCCACGCCCCGGGCGAATTAGAATTCGCGGCGTCTAGCGGAGAAATGTCGCCTCCGATGGGTTTGCCAGGGCCGGATTAATATTTTAGGTGCGCAAAGTGTGACAAAATAATGAGACCCGATTGTAATACAAAAATATAGAAAAAAATATTAAAAGAAACTATAAAATTTCCAATTACAATTTAATATTAAATGGCTTTGCTCATTTACGATCTAATATAAATGTTTTCCTATTATTGGGAGCTCGGGATCCTCGGGGCCATAAGCACATTCTCGGTTTGCTACCATCCTTGGGGCTTGCTGTACTAGAAACTAACGGAACCGGAAATTGATTTATTACACAGGAAAAATAATTAGTTCTATGTGTAGTGTAAAATGGATGTAATTTTATATGCATTTAATCACGACCCTTTTCCCAACCACGATCCGCACAACATCCTGCTTTGTCACACTCACTAGCATACGTTCATTTGTATGTTAGTTTTACTCAAGAGTCATTTCTCGATGTATGACTGCAACTACTTTCATTATTTTCTTGAAGGCATGAGTAAAAAGAAATGTTGGATTTTGAACTTCGAAGCTTTACGACTTACGTTACGACCAAGAAGGAAAGGAGGCCACAGGGAAATAAAGCAAGCAACATAAATCAGGTTCATGGGAAAAGTGAATAATACATTACATACAACTGCTTAATTTAAACATGCTCTAAATCAGGTATTCAGTATCTAGCAAAGCAAACACATTCAACTTCTTCGTGAAAAGTCCTGTAAAGAATTTGTAATGTGAGTTCAGGTGATCAGGGTAGAATCCATTGATATGCTCTCTGAAGCTTCGGACCCCTATTATTAAGTTATTCCAGGTGTTAGTGGGTTTTGTTTTCAGTGTCTCATTCAAATCCATGACAAATATTAATCGAATGCCAATCTCAATCGATCCACGAATGGTACAGGCTAGTGCAGTGGTTTCAAACTTTTCCCTCCGCCCCCTCCACATGACGAAGAAGTTTATAATTACGCCCCCTGCCTATTTCTTCAATTAAAAATATAATATTTTTTCTTAATTCGTTACATTATTCTGTCTGTTGCCAAATCAGATCAACAGAATTGCACACGAATGCATTGTATTATATATTAAAATATACCTGAAAATTATTCTTCACATTTTTGATTATTCAAAAATTATTAAATAAGACAGTATTCACTAAGCAGCTAACAAGAATGCCAAGAAAATTAAGAATTTAAATTACAAACTACACAGTGTGATGGATAAGCTTGTTTTTGACAAGAAATTTTATAATCCGTGGCGTTAGAGTAGAAATGACCACACGAAGCTCTTTATTGACATTTAGCTTTGAACGGTAATTAGAATTCATTGCTACCAAAAGCTGAGAAACCTGTCTCGCACAAGTAAGTTGTTGCAAAAGGAATCAAGATGTTTACTGGAATTTTTCTCAGCTTTAGTTATTAATTGAAAATGATTTTTGGAATTAGCTGAAAATGATCTTATTAGAGAAAAATGCATGTTAGAGAAAAAATGCAGAATGCTTATTAGAGAAAAATGCATTAGATAAAAATCATGAATAACAATTTATGAGTGATATTGTATGTGCATTTTGGTGTATATTGCCAAAAAAGCATACAAAATGTAATAAATTATAACTATTCGCACCATCCATACCTGCCGTACCCTAAATTGAACGTAATAGTCTGTTAGTATATTTAATTGTAATATACCATATTGACTATAACTGCAA